TGACTGTGTATTTGAACAATAGTAAAGTATACCAACTGGGCATAACATTATGACCACCTGCCTTGCCTCATCCAACTTGACTCCTTTCCATAGTGCATCCCGGTGCCAGGTGTTTCCCATGTAAGTGACACAGATGTATCCGGTTTTTCCACACGATGTAAAAGATTCATCATCACCTTCTTCCATTCCTCCGTTCTCCAATGCTGATGCTCACATGGCCACTGTTGGTGCTCTCGGCATGGATAGTAGTCAGCGTGGTCACCCTGACTGGTCTGCGGCTATGCAGCCCCATACAGAACAAATTTTGATGTACTGTGGATTATGACATGTTTCTATCAGAACCAGCTTTAACTTTACTGGCAATTCGAGCTACAATAGCTCATCTGTTGGATCACATGGAACAGATTTCGCTCCACACATATGAATGAGACTTGGCTGCCCATGACCCTGTTGCTGGTTCACCACTGTTCTGTGGGCCACTTTTGATAGATACTATCCACTGCAGGAAAAACCCAGAACCCGTCACAGGTCCTTGTGAAAGTTGCTCAAATCCTTACACTTGCTGCTTTTTCCTTCTTCTAACACATTAACTTTAAGGACTAAATGGACTCTATATCTCTATAAGGTTTTTAAGTCTGAGTCGTGTCCGGGTCCAAACTCCGCCTCGGGTCCCAAAGTCAAACGAACATTGCAGCATAACTCAGAGTTTAAAAACTGTATAAATTCTGTCATGTTTAATAAAATGATCAATATGGCTGCTTTACCAGGTGTAACAATTAAGTTTAACATTCAGGCATCCATGAAAACAGGTTTTATGAAGTTAAACAGAGTAAGAAGATAGCAGGAAGTTAGCTCGCTAGTTTCCATCTAAAGATGATATAGCATGTTCTGAATGAGGGATTTCTGAAAAAATTAAAACGTACAGCTCTGCTATCACTTCTGACATAAATGAAGACAGAAAACTAAACAGCAGTGACGTTTGTAGGGCTACTGAAGTTGGGCTAGCTGGTATATAATGGTGTGCTACATGGTGGTTAGCTACACAGCTAGGGTTAGCATACTATAAACACATTAGCACAGTGAAAACTTTTTTCCACTTGATAAAAGTTAACGTGAAGGTTCCCGATGGTTAGGGACAAACACAATTGTATGGCAGAACCCTGAAAATGGACCAAACAACTGAACAACTGAGATAATCCATCCACAATACGAGGTTAGTCATT